ACAGGCACACTCCCTTGGTGAAGGCCAATGACCGGGAGCTGAGCTTCCTCATTCAGATGTCTCTGGTCATCACAGTGCTCTCATCCATGCTCTTCATAGGCAAGCCATTGAACTGGTCCTGCATGGCCCGCCAGGTCACTCTGGCACTAGGCTTTTGCCTTTGTCTGTCTTCCATTCTCGGAAAGACTATCTCACTCTTTTTTGCCTACAGGATTTCCAAATCCAAAACCAGACTTATATCCATGCACCCCATTATTCGAAAACTCATAGTGCTGATCTGTGTTTTAGGGGAGATTGGTGTATGCTCAGCTTACTTGCTGTTGGATCCTCCGAGAATGTACAAGAACATTGAACCTCAAAATGTAAAGATCATCTTTGAATGCAATGAAGGCTCTATAGAGTTTCTGTGTTCCATATTTGGGTTTGATGTCCTTCTGGCCTTACTGTGTTTTCTTACAACCTTTGTGGCTCGCCAGCTGCCAGATAACTACTATGAAGGGAAATGCATCACTTTTGCAATGCTGGTCTTTTTCATTGTCTGGATCTCTTTTGTCCCTGCTTACTTGAGCACCAAAGGCAAATTCAAAGTGGCCGTGGAAATATTTGCCATTTTGGCATCCAGCTATGGCTTGTTAGGCTGCATATTTCTTCCCAAGTGCTTCATTATTTTGCTGAGGCCAAAGAGGAATACTGAGGAGACTGTGGGTGGGAGAGTCCCCACTGTAGACAGGAGCATCCAGTTGACCTCAGCTTCTGTGAGCAGTGAGCTTAACAACACCACAGTGTCCACTGTTCTGGATGAGTAGAGTTGGGAGTCCCATGTGACATGCAGAGTTTGACAATGGCCTGGCAAAACTTTCCCTTTCACGTTGCTTCTGAAGCAGCTGCTCTGGGGGTAATATTAGTTTGTTGCTGTGTTAGTGTAATGTTTAAATGTCATGAATGAAATTTCATTCTGTGACATACCATTTAGCATGGATTAGAATGCCATTTATTATTGAAACTGGAAACTATTTCATTAGAATTTTAAAGTAGAGGATGTACATCAAGAGAATTTATCAAAAATGGCAGTAAAATTGCTTATGAATATTTTCTTAAATAATGAGTATCTGTTCTAGATGTTTACAGTAAATAAATACACATGAATAGGACAAAGAGAGATCTTTTCTCATCTTGTTGATGCCTCTCTGAAATAGACTGTCCTATTTTTTAAAATTACAGCTGTGATGGATGGGAGATAGCTTGGTTGTTAAGAGCGCTGGTAGCTCTTCCAAATGACCCAGGTTCAGTTCCTAGCACTTACTATCATGTCTCATAATTGTTTGCAACTATAGTTCCAGGGAGCCAATCCTGTCTTCTCATGCCTCTGGCTATCAGGCTAGCATGTATTACACAAACATGCATGCAGGCAGAACTCTAATACACATAAAAATAAGAAACTGATGCTCTGAAATCTTCCCTGGGAGAAGTCGCTTTAGTGAATTCTTGGAAGATAATTTGTGCTTTTAAGGACTTGCATATCAGTCAGATTGAGGGGACTGACATTGTTAATATTGATAAATTTCTATTGATAAAATTCAATTTCTTCTTAAGCTACTAATGAGAACAGATTAGCTTCTTTGAGGCAAGATATGATCCTGCTCCAGGCTTTCCTGGAAGAGAATAATTTGTAACATGTCTGGGTTTCAAAACATTCCTCTGCTTGAGAAATAAATACAAAGGGAGTTGTGATGCCAGCCTGACCTTAAGTTGATTACATGGTAACAACCTATGGCAAAGGAAGCAAGTGTTTACCTAGAGCAGGGATTAGAACTCAAGACTCTTTAAAGGGATTTTAAAAATGATATACAGTGGTAGATAATCTACCCGCTGATTATACAGTACTGAAATTTATTTCCCATATGTAAATGTAATAAACATCTTTTCAGTCTCCTTGATGTGAGACTTAATGACCTTCATGTATTTATATGCATATGCGTTAAATGTGTTGCAAATGTAACTTCCAGAAATGTGGCTAGTCTAAAACTGCATGTGTACATTCGGCTGTAGAAGAACAACAGAACCAGAATGTGCTCTCTTTTCAAGTGAGCTTAAAACAGATGCAGATAAGGAGGGGATTGGAAATGGGTGTGACTGGGGCATATGATGTGAAATTCCCAAAGATCCAATAAAAATTGTGTTAAAAATGAGTTATGTGTATAATTTTATTTTAATATGGGCAGTTAAGCCATATAGTTATTTTTTCAAGCAAAAGTGTAAATGCCCTGCTGGTAATTCTCTGTTCATGTTCATCTGGGCTTATGTACCTCTCTTGTAACCAAATCAACAATCCCCTTATGAAAAGTATTCCTGTTTATATGGGCCTACCTGTATAGGTTATGTAAGAACTAAAATGACTAGAATGAAAATATTTTCAAAATTCATACTTGGCTGTTTGTATTTAGAAAATAAAAATTATGCACAGGTTAGACCTAAATTGGTGTGAAATAGTTGTGGGGCAGGAAGAAACCTCTGGATACTATTATAAACAGGAGTGAAGGTGGAAGTCAGCTGGCATCACTGTACTCAACCTTGACCTTTTGGGGGATAGGAGAAATAGGGATTGCAGTGTGTGTGTGTGTGTGTGTGTGTGTGTGTGTGTGTGTATAAATCTTCCAATCTTCCATCTTTCTTGCCATCTATTCCTTCTGGGTGAGTTTACTTCATTTTGTTCTAGTGCTTTCAGTTGTTCTGTTAATTCACTAGTGTGTGATTTTTCCAGCTTATTTATATGGCACTTAGTGCTATGAATTTTCCTCTTAGCACTGCTTTCATTGTGTTCCATAAGTTTGGGTCTGTTGTGAGGTCATTTTCATTAAATTTTAGGAAGTCTTTTATTTCCTTCTTTATTTCTTCCTTGACCCAGTGGTGGTTCAGTTGATCATTGTTCAATTTCCATGTGTTTGTGGGCTTTCTGAAATTAATGTTGTTGTTGAATTCTAACTTTAAGCTGCAGGGGTCTGATAGGGTACAGGGGTTTATTCTATTTTTTTTTTTGTGTGTGTATCTGTTGAGGTTTGCTTTGCTACCGAGTGGTTGATTTTTGAGAAGGTTCAATGAGGTGCTGAAAAGAAAGTATATTCTTAAAAAAAGTATATTCTTTTGTGTTTAGGTTTGAGGCCATTTATATTTATGGATATTAATGACCAGTGATTGCTAGTTCCTGTTATTTTTGTTTTTGTTGTTGGTGATGACATTGTGTATTCAGTTCCCTTCTTTGGGGTTTGCTGTTGTAAGCTCATCTATTTTCTGTGTTCTTGTGGATGTAACTATTTCCATCTAGTACTTTCTGTAGTGCTGGGTTTGTGGATAGGTATTGTTTAAATTTGGTTCTATCAAGGAATATCTTGTTTTCTCCATCTATGGTTTTGAAAGCTTTGCTGGGTAAATTAGTCTGGGCTGACATCCATGGTCCTTTAGTGTCTGTGTACTCTCTGACAGGACCTTCTGGATTTCATTGTTTCCTCTGAGAAGTCAGGTATAATTCCGATAGGACTGCCTTTATATCTTACCTGGCCTTTCTCCTTTGCAGCTCTCAATATTCTTTCTTTATTTTGTAAGTTTATTGTTTTGATTATGTGACAGGTGAACTTGGTTTTTTTGGTCCAGTCTATTTGGTGTTCCATAAGTCTCTTGAATTCTCACAGGGATGTCTCTCTTTAGGTTGGGGAATTTTTCTTCTATTATTTTGTTGAATATATTTTCAGTGCCTTTGAGTTGGACTTTTCTCCTTCTTCTCTCCCTATTATTCTTAAGTTAGTACTTTTTATGGTGTTCTGGATTTCCTGCATGTTTTGTGATAAGGATTTGTTGAACTTAAAATTTTCTTTGACCAATGAATCTATTTCCTCCAAGTTATCTTCAATGCCTGAAATTCCCTTTTCCATCTTTTGTATTCTGTTGTTTATGCTTGCATTTGTGATTCCTGATTGTTTGTCCACGTTTTCCATTTCCAGAATTCCCTCGGTTTGTGTTTTCTTTATTGCCTCTATTTCAGACTTCATGTCTTGAAAGATCTATCTTGCTGCTCCCCTGCTTGCCTGCTTCTGCCTCCAGCCCTCCTGCTTCCTTTAAGATTTCTTCATCATGATGACAGTCTCCTTTCTACTTTCAAGCTCTATTCTGTTGGTTTGCTTACTGTAGCCAAACTGAAGGCAGGGTTTGACCATACAGTCAAACCGTACCATGTGATAGTTACATTTAGGACTGAGATTTTTTAAAAAACTAGATATTACTATTTTCCACCAAAAGTTTGAATTCATTTTATAGCATGGATTATTGAGGGCATTGCCTTTCTCTCTGTGGCTAGCTTAGCAAAGAGGAAAGTAGATTTTACCTTCGTTCTGACTAGTGATTTATGACAAGTCTTTAGACAGGAAGACTTTCACCACTGTGCTGATATGTCCAGCATGGCTCCAGAGATGAACACAACTGATGTCGAGGGAATGAAGAAAAGACAAACACAGACAAAAACATGGATGCACAGAAATTTGGGAATCAGGTGGACTGGACCCTTACATGCAAAAACTCAGCACCCTAGATGCTCAGCATGCTTATCATACACAGTTGAATGGGGTTCAGAGAGGTAAAGCTATTACATACAACTGAACAAGGAGGTGGGGTTTTATATACAATAAGGCAGAGTTTATGGTATATAGTTGGATCAAGGAGACAGGTTTCACTAAACTTGGTAGGAGAAGCCTCTGTAAGGGAGCAGCCTTCAGGCTATAAATATCCAGTGGGGAGAAAGCTAGGGTGCACATTTTTCTGCATACAATGTCAACACTTGCACTTAGTCCATGGAAGAATGCTTTGTCATTGCTCCAAGCCTCATGCCCCCTCCCCTGGGGTTGGGGTTAGGGTGGGGATGGCTTTGGCATTCCTTCATGGGCCTGAAGTTCTAGGGTCCTTGCCATGGTTAGTTCATGTCAACAACACATATTTGTTCAGAACTTCATCTGCTCCCATCACTACAGTGGTCTGAACACTGACAACTTTGCTACTTGCTGATGCAAACAGGCACATGGCAGTGAACGGTCAGTGATCACAGGATCCCTGACCAGGTCACAGGATCTCAAAAAAATTTGCAATGTGCTTTTTGGAAGTCAAGACAGGATGAAAATAGAATACTTGATGTACTTACTGAGTTCATAACTTACTAAAATTTAGCATGGCATATTATTTCTTTGGTTAACAGTCAAATCACTTCATATTATATTTACCTATCCTTTTCTGAACAAACAAAGCTTAGTTATAGTTACTGTGTAGTGTGTGTGTGTGTGTGTGTGTGTGTGTGTGTTCATGATGCACATGCTTGTGGAGGCCAGAGGATAACTTAGGTGTCATTGCTGAGGATCATCATCCAATATACTTTCGATACAAGGCCTTCCTTCCTATTTTTGAGACAAGATCCCTTGTCATTCTGGGGCTCAGCCAATAGAGTAGGATGGCTGGCTACCAAACTTTAAGGATCACCCAGCTTTGGCTTTCCCAGTGTGCTCCTCTAGGCCTGGCTTTTTCACATGGTTCTGGAGTTTGAACCTCTGTCTTCATGTTTCTAAGGGAAACACTATACCAGCTAAGCCATTCCCACCACCAGCTGATGTTTTTATTTATATTTATCTTTACTACTATCTTCATATTATGGTTGTCATAAGGCATTGCTGGCTGGTCACAGGTTGCAGTCTGTCATGGCCTGGCAGCTTTTCCCAAAAGCTCAGCAACATGGAGACTTCCTCCTTCCCTAGTGACATTTCCTGCTCTCAGT